AAAACATTTAATCACAAGCTTACTTTTCTTTTTCTGGGTTTGAAGTTAGAAAGAATATATTTCTTGATGGCTTTGAATATTCTCATACCAGACAACTTAAAACGAGAGGAATTTTCAAAAGAAGAAGGAATTAATAACATTAAGAGTTTAACTAATTAATATTAGGGATATGCAGTCTAGACAATAAGAAAAACACTGTGCATTGACTGAAAGAAATAATTCTTAAGCGAAAAAAACAGAAGACTACATCGAAGTGTATTCACTAAAAACAAATTTAAAGACTTTTCCAACCTACTCTTATACAATTCCCCACTTAGGAGGTTTAAAATTCCCCTTATCGTGGTCTGACTGGTGTTTGGTAAATGGGAAATCTGCCCCATTAATGAAGAACAGTGTAGTGACTAATGCTCCCATTTGCTTAAATGTCTCCCAAGGACACCAAAAACATGTATCAATGATTTCCACATTGTGGTTTTCTCCCTACATGATTTTGTGGGGTGAGAAACAAAGGTTCCTTGGTCCAGAAAATGTCTCTATTCAATTGCATTAATGATCAACCCATTAGAAACAAACGCTAATCTATTAGCTATGGGATTGGAAAATCACAAACCCAAGTTCAAACCCTCGAAAGGTTCTACTCCACCAGCTCCCCCTGTGGCATGCCTCCATGGAGTGATCCCCCAATCTCAGTTTCAAATACAGACACCAAGTTGTTTTTTCTGAGATCTCTGTTTTCAATGGCACAGCCAATGACCACCATTTGACCTCTGTATGATACCTCTTCTATTTTTATTTTTCCATTCTAGGGAGCCATATTTCACAATTCGGTCCCCAAGCAAGAGACATGATTCTAATTGGCCAGCGAAGCTGCTATATATTAAGCACCCTGAATTGTACAGCTCAGCTGAAAAGTTTAGTAGTCTAACCAGACGGCTACAACTATTTCTGGCATCAAAAACCACTTTTCCCCCTACAATAAAGGAGGCCCAGAATAGCCAAAAAGAAACAGCAGGGGTACTATTATCATGAGATAATCTCAGCCTTGAAGCGCTCAGCCTTGAGGCCTAAGGATATGGGATAGGCTTCTCTTATAATAAGTTCTGCTAACCACAAACCATGTTGTTTTATTGCTTCAATTGTATTTTCAAGGGCAATGTCATCTTTTTAAGGGACATTATTGCCTTTCATGGGTAGATGGAATTTTTACAGAGTCCCAAGCCTGGTGAGCTAGCTAAGCACTTGGCTTCTAAGTTATTTTTGGCTTGACTTTTTCATAAGCTCTAATCAGTTATGTTGAACCCTTAGAACCTTGTGATGTTTGGAAGGTTTTTAAAGTACAAGCACAGTAATCCTTGTCTTCTCCACACATTCACTCCTAGTTAAACTGGCCTGCTAGCAGTTCTGATCAACAACATTCTCTCTCTTGCCTAGAAGCCCTTGTCCAAGTGGTTCCCCTTTACTGAGCATGTGCTGCCTTCTGGCCTCTGCCTCAGACTTCCTTTAAAGCAGAGCTCAGGGGCCACTTTCTCCCTGGGATCTTATCTGATCTCTCCCCTAATTACCATTCTCTTCCTTGAAATTACTTTGTGTAGATGTGTTGTTTTTACTTAGTAGGTGCTATATATTTATAGACTTTGTAGATGTTGATCGTAAGCACCTAAAGGATGGAAATTGTTTTTGTCTTTGTGTCATGATCACCTAGCACAATGATATACATTTACGTATGTATGTATGTGCATGTGTATGTACACACATGTACATATATATATGTGCGTACATTTACACACACACATATACCTGTATCTCTCCTACTTACAGCACCCCAAAACAACCCTGTATTGAATTTGTATATGCTATGTAGATACAGATTATGGACGGTGGAGTGTAACCTTCCTCAGCTCAACTCATGCTGTTATGTATGTAGTCACAAATGAAGATTTTATATGTAAAAACATTAGGCTCTGTGGTCTAACAATAATAACAAAAATAATAATTAGTAGTAGTACTAGCAGTTCTGCTAATAGTAGTCATTGTTTTTATAGAGAGTTTTAAGGTTTTCAAGGAGCTTTACAAATATTACTTTATTTGATCCTCACAACAACTCTAGGAAGCTGGTTTATCACTATTGTTATTACATAGATGAGGAAACTGAGGTAATCCAAGGTTAAGTGACTTGCCCAGGGGTCACTCAACTAGTAAGTGTCTAAGGTGGGATTTAAACTCAGATTTTCCTGACTCTTTGTCCAGTGCTCTTTGTCAGGAAAATCTGAGTTTAAATCCTGCCTCCGACACTTACTAGCTAGGTGAAAGACTAAATTTAGGAGCTGAGGATTCTGATTCCAGAGTTGAACCCAAGCCTCCAAAAACGAATCACTCACGGTGGTCAGAGGCCACACATTCAGTTAGGAACAGAATAATACCCCAAGGATAAACAGATGCAGAAATTCTTCACCTTAGGTAGGAGGTAGCTTCCATAGGAGAGGAATACTGTCTATAGAATCAAGAAAGGTCTTCTTGGCATAAAGTGCCAGAAACATTGAATTATACTTTTGCTACATATTTTTTTTTCTTAAATGAGTGCCTATCACTGTAATCTAAGTGTTAACCCTCTCTTCTCATGGACATAGTAAATTTGTGGGAGAGTGTGCACTGAGCTTTTGGGGGGACTGTTTTGTACCAACTATTCTTACTATATCATCTTAGTAAATACCTTTGCAAAAACCTAATTAAGTCTTACTGACTGATTACCAATGAGAAGCATACTAGTTGGGGCTTGTGAGCAAAAGCACTAGAAACCCAGCCCTTTAGAGTTATCTCTATGACCCTATGATTACTACTAGATAGAGCCCTGGACTTATGGTTAAAACAACTGATTTTTTTTGAGTCTTTGCTCAAACATTTGCTAGCTGTGTGACCATGAGTAAATCACTTACCTTTTCTGAGGCTATTTCTTAAAGTATCTGTAAAATGGGGATAATAATATTTTTACTCATACGGTTGTTTTAAGGAAGGAGCTTTGTAAAGCATAAAGCTCTCAATCAGTGTGAATTGTTGATTTTGTGATATCTTCTCTGCATGAACTTAAATTAATTTTGTCTTGAATTTTTTTTCCAAGATTTTCATGACATTCTCTGTGACAATTGAGCATGCCCCGATAACTAGCTCTCCCTGCCTTGAGGCAATTTATCCTCCCCACAGCTTCCAAAGTAATATTACTAATGCCTCGATCCTAACACCTCCCCTGTTATAAGGGTTGCGTTGGCTCCCTATTGCCTTTAGAATCAAAGGTAAATTTTTAAAGTCATAAACAATCTGACTCCAGCTTGCCTTGCCAGACGTGTTGTGCATCACTGCCCTCTGCACATTCTCGTCTTGTCAAACTAGAATTTCTGTTCTTTACCCTCGGGATTATCCATGTTCCCCTCTGTGTTTTTGCTCGGACTTTTTCTCACGTCTACCTAAAATGCTCCTCACCTCTATCCGTCTCTAGTTCCCTTAAAAATCTTAGCTCACCTTGTACCTTCAATATGAGATCTTTCCTGATCCTGCCAGCTATTAACGCCTTCCCCTTCTGTTAACTTAGATTTATTAGGTATATATTATTCATCCACATGTGTATCTGTGGCTTCTCTTATGAAATGGAAGCTCTTCAAAGGCAGGGACTGTATCATTTTTAGTGTTGTTTCCCCAGAAACTAGCACAGTACCTGACACAAAATAAGTTCTTAATAAATGCCTGCCGATCGATCGATTGATTGGCAGTTGCAAACTGTCTGGGCAGGCAGGTCTCTTAGTCTCTCTGTGCCTCGATTTCCTCATCAGCAAAATGGGAATGGAAGACTCAACGTCCTCTAGGTGTAAATCTACGATCCTATGCTGAAAACAAGGCTGAGCACCACCAACCAAATCTGTATTTGTTTTTAAAATAGATACATATTTTTAAAACTTCCGCTCCAGCAAGGCATCTAAACTAGTTCTACCCTAAGTGGCAAAGGTCAGACATTCCCATTTTGATGGATACTCGAGACAAAGTGGATTTCCCCTTTCTTATTCATGTTGGGTTGAAGTGGATATGAGGTTTGCTGGAGAGACAGTTTCTGGAGAAGCTGGCAGTTCTGTGGCATATCAACAAAACTGTCAAGGAGAGAAGCGTTGCCTCATTTGGGAAAAAGGAAAAGAACAACAGGCCTCTTCTGTGGAGCTTAAGAGGACAAGCTGAACAAAGGATCTGTTGGGTTTGAGTGAAAAGTTCTTTTCCCCCTTATCATAAAAATGACTTACTCTGCTAACCTCTCCCAGTGCCTCCACAAGGCTGTGGCTTTTAGACATTTTGATGTATTTATTCTGATAAGACTGTCCAGACAGAGGGCATTTTCTTGTCTATCTGGTAAAAGTTTATATCAGACAGTCATCCTTTAAATGCTAGGCAGGGAAAAAAATACCTAAGACACACACATATATATATATTTACATAGATGTTTATGTATGCATCTTAAAAGGCCATATGGATCTGGTGCAAAAACATGTAGCTGAAAAGTAAGAAAATCAGTAAAGGTGGTCACTTAGTACTATGTGGGTTCTGTTCCCCCACACACACACCTTGAAATGCTTCCCCCTTAATTCAACTTAAAAAAAAAAAATTAAACACAGTTGAACCAGTGTCTCCCGTGTGTAGACACAGCCAGGGTATTTTATTCTCAAATTTAACACCAGTCGGCCAATGATCACATGGACATTCTTGATCCTGCCTGTTAATTCTTCAGGGTTTTCTCCCTACCTGGACCACCCTTTCCATTCTCTTCCATGTGGCTAAATACTATCCATTGTTTAAGGTCCAGTTGATCTCATCTGTCCTACATAGCCTTTCTTGACCATCCACATTTATCTCTCCCATTTCCTTGTACTTTATGAACTTTGATCAATCAATCAGTATTCATTAGATTACTAAGCATCACATTACATTATCATATTATTAAGCATTTTTTTATTTCTCTGTTCCAGGCACTGCGCTAAGCATTGGGAATACAGAGACACAAGCCCGTCCATGATCTCCAGACTTGAGCTCACATTCAAATTTGGGGTTTTGCTTTTTGGGTAGAAGTACAGGACTTCCCCCATCCATGCAGGTCAGTACCTCTTCTGCTATTTAGTTTCAGAGAGTTGCCTGGAGCACTGAGGGGTAAGGGTAAAGGGTAAAGGGTAAAGCCTAGGCTCACATAGCCAATCTGTGTCAAGGGCTGGACTTCAACCCAGGCTTAACGGGGCTCTGGGTTTGTTTTGTTGTTGTTGGAGTCTTAGAGAGTTGCCTAGATCATGGAGAAGTTGACATCTTGCCCAAGGTCACACAGGATATATCAGAGGTTTTCCTGGCTGTGAGACTCACTCTATATACATGATATCACACATTCTCTCCTTGTTCCTCTTCTTTTTATGCCTTGTCTATATCACTCATTTTGGAATTTAGTCATGTGCTGCCTTGTGCTATTTAAATGTCATGCATGTACATGGCTTATTCTCTCCAATTTTATTGAAGGTCCTTGAGGGCAGAAAGTGTGTGTGTGTGTGTGTGTGTGTGTGTGTGTGTGTGTAATTCCCCATAGCACTGAGTAGCAGTGTGAACCAGTTTTGTAAATCAGTGGTTCACTAAAAGAGTACACATACGTACTGTATAGTTTGACCAGATTCATACTGTCCCTAAGATTTCTTCATATAATGCTCCGATTTCATCTTCACCATTCTTCTAGGACCCTTCCAGAGAATCAGCCTATAAAAAGAAATGTGTACCTGCTAAATAGTGGCAGTACCTGGTATATATAAATACTTGTTGACTTACTGATTGCCAGAAACTAGTGGCAGTAAGCTGTGTTAATTCTATATCAAATCCATTCAGTCAGTTTAGTCAAACAACTGGTCAATCCTGAGTAAAACAATCATTCCAGTCTGTGGATTAAATAAAGTAACCAGTTGTTTGGCTCGGATGGTCAAATCTATTGAAGTGGATGATGGGAGGCATAACTATGGAGGCATAACCCTAGCATGATTTCATCATCACTAAGTCCCAGGAAAACCAAGACTATAGGAAACTGACAAGAGAGACATAAGAAGACAAAACCTCATAAATTCCATTGTCTAATTTTTTTAAGGACCTTAATGTGGACCAGTATTTCCTTATTCACTTCATGTCATCTCCATTTTTGTTAGTTGGAATTAATATTTGATTCTTAACTCCTTCTCTAGATTCAAAGGCATATATTTGGAGAACCCTGTATACCAGGAAATAGGCTTGGACACAGTCCATCCTAGGCAGAAGTGATGCCTATATTGAATGGCCTTATTTCCTCTGTAAGTCTAAAAGTTTTTGTTTGTTCGTTTGTTTTAATCTTATTGCAACAGTGATTCCTCAACATTCACTCATTCATCTATTCAATCAACATACATTTATGGCCTGTTCTGCATATACAGTAGTGCCCCATATGGTTGGGTTTAGAAAGTGCAAGGCATGGTCCCCACCCTCATGGAACCTACAATCTAATTAAGGAAGTAGGACATAGACGTATTCAACATTAAAGAAAAACAACAAAATCATACTGAAAGCTGAGTCTTAAAGGATGAGTAAGCTTCAGATAAGTGGTGAGGACAGAGGAGGGTATTCTAGGTGAGGGGAATGGTCTGTTAGCAAAGACGCAGGGAGTGAACACACATAGTGTGTTCGGAGATGGTGAATAATCTAGTCTGGCTGAAGTGGAGGATTTGTGGAGGGGGATAGTAAGAGATAAGGTTGGTACAAACCCTAGCAGCGAGAACAACAAATAAAAACAGTCAAACTGACATACGTAAGTATTCCTTGAATACGCTGCAAACATCTTGTAGAGCAGGCTAGTCTATCATTTTCTTTGTTCTGTTGCTTACCAGACCAAACCCAGTGACTCATCTGCTGGCTCCCCAACATCTGTTCCTAGCAAGCTATTTGCAGATACTTAGCTGGTTGAATCCAAAGGGAGGGGAGAGGCAAGATGAATGATGACGGTTACCTATCTGTGTTTCATTGCAGGCAAAGCTGACTATGATAAGTGATGGGCAAAAACTTAAAACCCTTGGAATTTGGGTTCAGTTCAGATAAGCTTTGTATAGTTCAGATATGTAAAGAGCGTCTGTTCTCTCTAAAACACTACTGGCTGAAGCATCTGGGATGAGGCCATGCTGAGAAAAGGACTGCACCATGGGTGGGCCATGGAAAGTTAAAATGGGGCCCCTGGCTTGACCCTAATTCTTTGCCTCCATCAGCTCTCCATTTCCATTATTCCACATGACCTTTTCATTGAAAGAAGGATCATGTAACTGTGGTAGCCCTAATCTTTAGCTTTCTCTGTTTGGCCAGGGAGAAAATGGAAGTGAAAGGGATAGTTGCCATGTCTAGATAAGGCCTTGGGTATTTTGGGAAGAGTGAGAACCAGAGAATGTGTGCAGATGCCAAATTCTACTTTTATAGGTATATGTGATCAAAAGTATCTGCATGGCTGAAATGAATAGACGTACTACCTTCCAACTCTTCAAGGACTGAGCCCTTCTGTTTTGAAAGAGGAATTAAATTAATTCTTGCTAGAGTCTTCTTCAGTGGAGAGTGCAAGAGAAGATGCATTTTGGGGACAATATCAGAGTTTGTGGTGGGAAGGAGCTACAGGCCAAATTTGAAGAGAGATCCTTAATTTCCCCCAAGGTAGTTCAGCTTTCTTGTTTATCATCATCATAATTATTATGAATAGGGACCGAAATTGGGATTCTGTTAATATCCTCTTTGTAGGTAGCTCTGTTTGCCACCAATTCCCATTGGCGTCTTCTCTGCTTTAATTAGAGGTCACTAGAGGTGACTTTGCCATGGTCACAAGGCCAAATTGTATGAGACAGTACTTGAACTCAGGCCTTTCTGATGCCAAGACTAGCTCTCCAACCACCACACCAAGCTACATCTAAGATGATTATTTTATTTTACTTTTGTCTTATGGATACTTATTTTTACTACTACAATTTCCAAAGATATCATCTCTCTTACCAATCCCTTGAACCCTTCCTTTTGAGATAGAAAAAAAAGTTAAACAAAACCAACACATGCAATGACTCAGTCAGGCAGGTATTGGCAACATTTTGTAACCCTTCATCTCTCCACCAAAAGGAGGGAGGTGTCTTCTGTCAACTGGTCTCTGGAAAAGAGTCCAGTCATTTTTAATATATCAGAGCTTGGCTGCTTTGTGTGTGTGTGTGTTGCTTTCATTCATTGATTTCATTGCTGCATTCCAGTAGTCTTTGAGTATATGGTTCTCCTGTTTCAGCTTAATTCTTTCTGCATCTGTTCGTATAAGTCTTTCATTGCTTCTTTGAATTCCTCACATCCATCATGTTTTACCATAATATTGTCACATAAGATGCTGTCATATTTCCATACACCATTTGTCCAGTCGTTTCTTGATTGATGAGCACCCACTTTGTTTTCAGTTGTTAGCTAACACCAAAAGTCCTTCTGTTTATTCTTGACCCTCTAGGGATATTGCTGCCAAAAAATGAAGTAATACATTGAAGGCAAGGCAGTAAGTCCCATGCTGGATGCCTGGTGTAAGGGGAAAATTTTCTCCACAGACAGGCACTACTTTAACAAGTCTGTAAATTTGCAGAGGTCATCAAGACTCGTTAGTAAGGAGGCTGCATCATTGTGGGAGTAAGCACCGCAGAATTGTAAAGAAGAAAAACTAGCTGATGTAAGGAAAATGGTGATGCTGTGGCATCTATAAACAGGATGTGAAATAATCAGGTTCCTGGGCCTTTTTATTTGTTTCTGGATTGATTCCCAGTCAGAGCTGATAACCTGCCCACTACAAAGAGGAACATCATATGTAAATATAATGAGATGATGAATTATTCCCCTGTCGTCAAGCTCACAATTTATGGAGAGACATTATCTGCTAAAAGCGCAGGCTGAAAGAATATTGATTTCCCTTTTACCAAGATAGCCATTTAAAACTTTTTGAAGACAGTAAATGATTGTTCATAAGCCTACCTCTGAAGCAGTGGGGGAAGGGGAGGAAGGAAGAGGGCGATTTGGCTGAATCCAGAGATGGGTCTGAGGTTTTGATTGACTAGGTGGTTGTAGAATGTGTTTCCCCACCCCCAATTCTGTTTCTGGTCACTTCCAAGTTCCACATTTCTACCTCAAAAAAAAAAAATGGAATCTTTTTCTTGTCCTCTCCACAAGAAAAAAAAAAGAAGAAAAGAAAAGCCATTTTCTCCCTCAATTAGGAATCATAGCTTTAGAGCCAGAAAGGAATTTGGAGTCCATTGACTCTAATGTCCTCACTTCACAGATGAGGAAACTGAGGCTAAGTGACTATAAGTCTAGGGTTATACAGCTAATAAGTGTCTGAGGCAGCTGAACTCAAGTCTTCCTAGTACCAAATCCAGTGATGTCTCCAACATGCTACCTAGCTGTGTCCTGAGCAAATCTCAGGATCATAGACCCAGACCTAAGGGCATGTCCAAATCCATGTAGTCCAAACCCTTTACTTCACAGATAAGGAACCCGAGACTGGGGAAGTTGAAGTGACTTGCCTGGACAAGTATCCTGTGTGGGGCAGGATTTGAACCCAGGGCCTTTGACTCCAGAGTCAGTGCTCCCCTCACTGTACCCTTTGGCTCCTCCTTTCAATTTCCTTTTTCCCATTCACCTCCCCCTATTTTCTTTGGGGATCTAGGAATAGCTGTGTATGAGGCATTATTGATATTACTGCTATTTTTTGTTTTCCTTTCCACAGGGGAAAAAAAAGCCATTGTTTTAGAAGGTGAATGCATATGGTGATTTGTAGATAAAATTTTCTCCAAAGCTGAGAGAGAGAGAGAGCCCCTCTAGGTTATTTTCTCAGGAGGAAAAAATGGTGACATGGAACATGTTGGTCAGAATCAATACAAAGGGAGCGAGGAGGAGGAAGGATGGAGCCCCATGTGTCAGCAGTGTGAGAATACTACGTAGGCTGACTTCCATGTATGCAGTGCATTGTGAGTTATTTTCTTATATAAGATGGTTATCAAATCTGTTTTAAATAATTTGGAATCATAAGGATCATAGATCTTGACCCAGAGG